ATGATGATGATGATGATGATGATGATGATGATGATGATGATGATGATGATGATTATGATGATGATGATGATGATGATGAGGAGGAGGATTTTCCTAATCTTTCAATATGGATATTAAGTCAGGAGCATGTTTCTTATGCATTTCATCTATTTTTTCACCGACTTTAATCGAGTAACTCTTTGATATCTATCTTTTTCTTGGGGACGCGAGCTACTGGTTTGTTAAAACATGCAAGCGTACTTACATTTTTTTAAATTGCAGTTTCCAACTCTGAGGCATTGCTTACGTGTACACGAAAAATGTTTTGCTTAACCCAATCCGTACGCCCTGGGGTTATTTTGTACCCCCGGTGTTGTATTCTCCACATTTTAAAATGCTTCTAGAATGGAGATCTCTTTGAAACTTTCAGTATTTCTCAAAAATCATTTTGCCAGACTGCTATGCAAAGCGTACAGATCGTATTTTCGAGTAAATTTCCTCTTTGGAAAGTGGTGCCACAGAATTCCCCATGTCGTATGGATACGATAGTAAAATACGACGTAGGGATAGGGTTAAATTCAAATTCTGAATTGCGGAAAATAAGGGGGGGGGAGAGGGATACAAAATGTAAAAACAGTTTTTAACAGAATGAAACAGTTCGGTTTTGTTTTGTTTCTTTTCTCTGTCTTGAAAAAACAATTACTGTCTGCCCTGAGAACGGCTGACCAGTCTGCCGACGACGGAGTCTGTGGCCATTGCCCTGTTGTCATTCTCACCCGACCACAGACATAGAAAACCGACCCGAAACGCATTCGGCGTGGAAAAAAGAGTTTCATTTCGTTTAATTTGTCTGTACACTGACATGTTTTTAACAAACCTGCGTGCAGTCCCTGGAAAAGAAAAGTAGATTTCATTAGGAATTCCGCTGGAAATAGGGACGTCAGCGAAACTGATACAACTCAAAGACGTGGATTTGGTGGAATCAGTTTGTCGGACTCCAAAGTCGACGATAATTGGATGGAGTGCGGAAAAATCAGGCTGCAATCGCCTTAGACTTTATTAAAATGGAAAGCACATCTCTTGCATGGCTTCTGGGGTTGGAAAGGTTGAGGGAAGGGTGGGGCTGGTAGAGGGGGGGGGAGAAAGTTTGGGGAGAGGGGAAAAGGGGGGGGTGGGGGGGGGGGAGGGCCCAGTGTTAACACTCGTTACAAGCTTGGATTCGAACCTCAAATTTCCGCGTCTGTGTAATCAGGTAAATATTATCTGCGTTGCTCCGACCGAGTTTACGGTATTATTATCTACGAATGTTACATTTTTAGCTCATTTCATTCAGCACATACTGACATTCTCAGAAAAAAAAGTTCTTGTATTATCTATCGCCCACATATTCCTGTGACCTCTAGGCATCATTGACACTTTGGTGTAGGTCTTGATCACGTGTTTGGGATTTCTGGGCTAGACGATGTCGCTGACCCCCAGTAGAAGATTGCACTTACACACACCCACACACACCCACCTTCACACACCCACACACACCCACCATCACACTCCCACAAACACACACCATCACACACACACACACACCCACACACACACACACACACACACACA